AATGGTGTCACCTCGATGTAATAACTTACTACATCCAAAAGTTTCTTAGCCCTATCGTGCCTCATGTACATGTTGTCACGGCAATCCAAACACCAGATGATTGCAAGCAATCCGTTGAGAGCATGCAAGGTAATAACTGCGCGTCAATGTTATTGTTTTACCACAGCGGAACTTGTTACGGAGAATCAACTATCAGGCCGAGAGCAGTGCCGCAACTGTGGATCGATCCACAATTAGAGATCGAACGCGAATGTAGATCAATATGAGAATCGATGAGGAATCAACGGCAAGTCGGACCATGAACTTGAACTGTTTGAATTATGGATGTTTGTGAGTAAAGTTTGTAGAAAGTAGAAGTCACGATTAAACTTCACGAACAATAATGTGCCTCGACGGGGAATCGAACCCCGGTCCACGAATTTCCGGTCCGCTGCCCTACCACTGAGCCACCGAGGACTGACGATTAGGTGCGCAAATTTTAATACATGATTTCTGTTTGGTGCGCGACGTATTGCCAATGAGCTCACAGTACCTGTCCTGGTGTTGCGGATTGGCTCACTCACCCATGAGTGGATCGGGGTTCGATTCCCCGTCGAGGCACATTATGGTGCGTGAATGTTAATCGTGACTTCTACTTTCTACAAACTTTACAATACTCACAAACATCCAAAATTAACCTACCATCGCTCATTGGACATCCGAAGGACAGGTGTTTCGGTCCATTGGGAAGTGACGGGTGAGTGAGCCAATCTTCAACACCAGGAGAGGTACTGTGAGCTTATTGGCAATACGTCGCGCACCAAGCAGAAGTCATTTTTGAATTGTGTTTATTTATATTAGGCTGTGACAAATTTCTACCTATACCATTCAACTCCCCCTACTACTCTTTTGTAATCAGTACGCAGACCAAACTGCTTATAATGCCATAAGTTACTTGGCGGCTTAAGTTTGGTAAGCTCGTCGCTTGGTGAGGGGGCTACCCTATCCTCTGCACGGCAGTAACGTGTAAGTCAGAGGATAGTGAGCGGCGCTATATTACATCTAGTTACTTATTCACGATGGTCGTTGCCGTCCTCCGTAGCTCAGTGGTCTCAACCACGGACTGGCAACAGTCGAGTTGCGGGTTCGAGCCCTACCAGGGTCCGATGGAATGCGCACTGCTGACGATTCCCGAAAGGATGAAGCGCGCGTCCAGTGCTTTTCCGGGCGTGTGGCGGCTGTCTGAGTGAGTCTAGATGCGACGAATCTATACCTATACCATTCAACTCCCACCTACTACTCTGCTGTAATATTAATTAGCATCTCCAATATTGTTGTGTTAGTTGTTTCCTTCAACCTATTTATTGCACCATACTCTCATACAATCAGAATCAGAATCCGTATCCTTCGGACCGGCTGATCTCGGTGTTCTCAGTTCGTGACGGGTTGAACTGGGTGGGGGCGGCACAGCAGATTCAGGTAGGTTATCCGTAAAGTCAGCGGAAACCACAACACACATTCTGGCAATAGTCAGCTACACGGTACCAGCAGGTTAGCCGTACATTCAGCTGCACCACAATCGATTATCGGCGACGGAGGTGGGATACCGACTGAAGATGGATATCTCAACAGAAGGCCTGAAAGCTATTTCGCTTCAACAGCAGCAACAATTCGAGGCCTTACAAATGCGTATGATCGAGACATCCACTCGAACCCTGTCAGGCCAGTATACAGCCATCGCTTCGGAGTAAATGCAGACGCTCCTTCAGGTCCAGCCGTCAAGGTTTGAGGAATCACGGTGGAAACTGACACAGCTGCTGAGACAGAAGTTGAATATTCAAGCAAAGTTTGAACTAGCACTCACATCAGAGCACAATGCATGTGAGTGTTACAAGCAGCTCAACTCGGGATTAGATATCACATGCCAGATGTGATCTCCAGATCAGCCACAGCTAATGGAGACCACAATGTGAATTAAAACGTGTCGAAGCAAAAGCCCCCACTGCGATTCTTGCCACACTCCGTAGCAGTCAAATCGCACAAAGAGGTCCTTTGTCTCTAGAGCGAGAAATTGCCTGCGAACCTAAATGCGAGGGTCTGCAACTCTGTGCAACAGTCCAGATACACAAACGAACAGCCCCCAAAACTGTGGTCATTGAGCACCTGCGAGAGAAGTGTATAGCAATATTTCGGAAAGGCCTTGAAACACCAATGGTTGACCCGGAACTTTATTGCTTCGAAAGAACAATTCGCCACCAAGTGAAGCATTCAGTTTGGGACCCAGGAGGGACCTGATAAGCTGTGACCATTGGCCACAAAAGGGAACGGACTTGTAGCCAAGATGATGCACTGATCGGGTGTGGAGACATGTCATCAGAATGCATCTGGACCCATGATGGAAGCAGCACGCGATTTTGCGCGAGGGAGATGCTACGGAGAGCCAGCGCACAAGCCGAGAAGCGTGCCGCAATAGTGGATCGATCTACAATTGGAGATCGAACACAAGTAAAGATCAACACGCGAAGCTATGCGGAATCGACAGCAAGTTAGACCATGAACTTGATATGTTTGAGTTCTGTTAATTAATATTAATTAGCAGTTCCAATATTGCTGGGTTAGTAGTTACCTGTAACCTATTTACTGCGCCATGGTCTCACAATACGAATCAGAATCCAAATCAGAATCTGGATCCCTCGGACTCGCTGGTCTTGGTGTTCTCGTTTCGTGGCTGGTCGAACTAGTTGGGGACGGTATAGCAGATTTAGACAGGGGTTATCCGTAAAGTCAGCGGAAACCACAACACACATTTCTGGCAACAGCCAGCTGCAAGGTAGCAGCATGTTAGACGTGCATTCAGCGGGGCACCACAACAGAACTATGTACTGTTGTGCAATAGGAATGGTTTCCTGGAAATGAAACTGTCCAATGATGCATTAAGTCACGCCTTACAGGCTTGGTACACGAACGCGATTTGCCCAGTTACCCTGCCTATGGACAGCGTCGCGTTCCACATCGGTCTCAACAGGTAATTACTGGAACCTGAAATCATGCAGAAAATGGCAAGTTTATTATTATACATGACAAAATACACTTTAAGTCAAGTACATTTCTTAAATCGGGGAGAATTTAATGCCAAATGTCACTGGTTCCATAATACTGGCGTTCGTTACCGAACATTTTGCTCGCCAAATTAGCTGCCGAGAGGTCCATGAAATATACCGCCTCGCATGTACACCTTTCACACGTCTATTTATTGGTAAGTTAATAATGCTGTGTTAAAGAAATATAGTACAGATGCAATGCTACAAAAGTTATTTCCTGGCAGTAGGGAAGAAATGAACAGTCATCGGATACAGCGGATGATTCAGCATACTGCAGAAGGTGATACCTTGGAGGACGTTCGTCGCAGTTAGACAAAGGCAGAAAGCACCACACATCCAGGAAATCGATAGATGGCCGTTTCGTCCTATTGGGACTCGTCAAAAGTGCGCACCCGCCGAAGCCTGCCGGATTCGAACCCACGACCTTGCTCTTGCGAGTCGGCGACATGTGTCACTGGACCATGGGCGACGGCAGCGGACCGCCATGACTGACATCTAACTGCGATATAACCCCGCTCATCCTCCACTGTCTTGCAAGTTATGAATATGCAGAGGACAGGACTGGCCCCTAGAGCAACGACTTCCTATGCAAGCCGCCACCAATCGAGGTGGCATGTAAGTTGCTAAGGCGAAAACTGATTATTTGTAAACAGTAAGGCGATATATTAGGGCACATTCATAACATGGAGGACAGTAGAGGATGAGCCGTGCTATGTCGCAGTTAGACATCAGTCATGGCAGCCCGCTGCCATCGCCCATGGCTCAGTGACATAAGTCGCTGACTCGCAAGGGTAAGGTTGTGGGTTCGAATCAGGCAAGGTTCGGGGGTGCACGCTACTGACGAGTCCCAGTGGGACGAAACGGCCGTCCAGCGCTTTCCTGGATGGGTGGTGGCTGTCCGTCTGTCTAACTGCGACGAATTTATGCAAAAACCTACTAAATCTTCCTACTTCGTTCAAAAGTTTGTAAGCTTTTTTAATTAAAATATGCCTTTCGCACCCATTTCTATGTTTTTCCCAAATATCCTGCTTTATGTGTGTTAACGTGTGACTATCGTGGAAGTAAGTTGGGCCGGGTTAAGAGGAAATATAAGGCGAATCGTTGGAGGAAACTGAAGGAGAAGCACAGCTGCGATGAGAAATTTTTTCAGACAGTCCTTTGACAGTCCAAATCATGTTCAATCAGAACTAATTTTTAACTCGCAGCGGACTGTCAGCGGGGGCTATCGTACAGTCAAGGTGTACGTTGCGTCCAGCTGCTTCCAACCTTTCTACAGTACCGTATTAGGCACGTCTCTTACGTGTCATTAGTACCAAATAGTATCCGAGGTGCAGCTATACAGTATTGATGTGGAGAGGAAGTGGCAAAAAATTCGGTGGCACTGTTGCATTCGGTTCCTTGTGCATCAATGTTGAGCCCCTGCACTTAGAGATTGTAAAGCATCCGTTACCAACCGCTTTTGGATGATTTATGATCATGCCATGTCCATGGCATGGTCCGTCGCCACCACGCTGACAGTGGCCATGCTAGGATCGTACACCTTACCACACTGCAGAAGAATTGTGCATGCGAAGGAATTTATCGAGGAGAAAAACCCCAGGGACGGATGGGTAAAAGAATAAAATGGGTATAAAATGGGTAAAAGAACACAGACGCGACCGTCGTAATGGTCATAGTTGTAATGAGACGCTGTATCAAGCTTGAATCAAAGCGGTGGGAAAACTCCCTTTTTCAATCTGAAAGCACTTGCAGGCATTGTGAAAACCACCGCTGCAGAAGCCCAGTAGAGAACACCATAAATAGGACAAGGCGGAAGTCAAAGATGTTTGCGCAAATACACTGATTCGGTTTATAAGTGCAATCACAGCACTCTGAGTTAGTCGAAAATCTTTCTCGGGTTACAGCATGATACAATCAATGTCAGAGGGGAGAGTGACTACCTGCGGCAAGCGCAGGGTGATCTGGAATACGGGTGGCGCACAGTTGTCGTAGTAATGGAAAATGTACCGAATCTTTGCTCTTCACAAGTTCGAACAACAGGGCCTCAGTGGTAGTGAGCACAGCACCTGCGTTGGAGATCCGCTGAAATGTATGGAAATTAGGTGTGGAAAGTATGGGGTTTGGAAATTCTTATGAAGAGCGGGAGATACAATAGTCTCTATAGAATTACATGCATTGGTGCTGGCTGAATTTAGAACCGGACAGGCGGTCTGCAGATGCATCGTGGATAGAGTACACAACCTCTACGATCCTAGCAGCCGACCGTCTGGCGTTGTAAGCTCATTGGTATGCTTAAGTAGACTAATCAACAAGTCCTGTGGACACAAAGTTGCATATGGAACGAATTCCGTTGGGTACAATGCTTTCATCGGAAGATTTGTAGTATGAGACCCGTAAAAATATCCAGCCGAACAGGAGAACAAGGCAACTCAACACAAGTGTTAAGTTGGTTATTCACCAGTGTGAGTAGAAGTTACCTTGATGGTTGGCGGCATCCGGTTTCGGATTTGCCTGTCACTGTGGCCAGCCACAAAACGCCTGCGCCTACAGAAGGACCATGCGTGAATTGCGCTGCACTACCCACCGCTAGATCCACACATCTCATATCCAGTGGAAACCCGAAGGAATAAGACCGGGATGCATGTGGATGGGAGCCACGTTTCATCAATGGAGCCGGCCCACACTCCCTCACAGGCAAACACAAGCATACAAGGCGGTGGCTGGACCGTAGTCCGCTCCACACTGAGTGCATGGAACCGCTCTTCGAGCCTAGTACGGCCACAAGGACCGTGCACCGCATACCCTCCAACTACGACCAACTGTCTCCTGGAGCCAGTATGGACGAGGTAGTGGGTAATAGACAGGTAGGCACCTTGTCAAGATGCACATCAAGCGCAGCCACACCGGGGATAGCAAGCAACAGCCATTCACTTGAAAAGACAAGATAAAATAAAATAAATCCAATAGTGCATACCGATGCGGTGGCATAAGTCTTCGCTAAATTTCCATATGAAGTAGGTTGGTTAGAAACGAATCTGCGACAAGTAAGAAATGTCCACGGGTTACTTAAAAATGCTACAAAACGCAACAAAGTTACCGAGGATAAGCGCAATGAGCGTAAGCAACGTGGCCAATTAATAGAAGACTATTCAGGGAGACAGAACGACGCAAATCAAGTAGAACGCAACTTAGCTAGCTTAAAAAGACCTAGTTTAAGCGTAAGTTGGTTTAGCCTTGATAGTCAACTACTAAAAAGTACACTGTTTCGGGCGAAACAAAACTAGAACGAGGAGTTACATGTGCCTGAAGTGGAGAGATAAACCAACAACTCAGGAATAATGTTGTCTTCTAACTGAATAGTAACTGTACGGCTTGGCTACAGACACTCGACACGCTTCACTTGGTGAAGATGATCTGTGCACCGAATTGAAGTGGATGTATCCACGCTAACTCATGTCGCCGGAAACAAAGAGCATTAACGATGTGAAGAAGGAACAGTAATTGAAATCGTCAGACGGGACATTGAACTGTTCATGGTGCCATATACGACAGGGTACATAATCACTGAGATAGTTGGTCTAATGGATGTCCCATCCATGAAAACACTGAGTGGTAATCCGATCTAGCCGTGTGGTGAGAGGCTTCACCCTCTTCTTCTATGGCTTGACTGACCAGTAGACAAAAGACATCAATGCAATCGGCCAGAAGGCTTACACTATCACTAAAACATGAGCTGCAAACGGGAGGAAATGAATTCACATCCAAAATACCCCTATGCCAAACATACTTTCCGTCGTAGACGGTAAATAAACTTAACTGCCTCACGACCACTACCATCCGCGTGTGGACAAGGGATACTAGAGGGTGCCCACACCTGCGCAGGCTCAAAATGGTGACTATTGAATAACAAACCATACAGAACCTGACCGGATTTAAGAGATATCAGAGAAAAAAATGAAGTTCCAGTCAATTGGGGCACTCACCCGAAGAGCAAACTGCATGTCCACTTGACTTCGACTGCTACAGGCGTCTGCCACTAGGTGCACTGTAAAACCCCGTTCGAGTAACTCTACAGCTGTTTGCAAAACACATATATGCGTCTGTGAATGTAGAGGTGGAGAAAGATGGAGAAGAAAGTGGGTAGGACAGTATGTTGGATGTTATGAGGAACATCTCTTAACGAATCGATCAGTGCACCATTTGCAGATCAAAATTAGACAGTTACCCTGGAACTCTGCTGAATAATTTGCTAATCGATTAGAAGAGTGTTAACGACTCATCTGATTAGGTTCTTAATAATCAAAGGGAAAAAGTGGACAAAGAAAGGTCTTATAAGGCAATTGGAACCAAGCAGATAATTCAAGCCGGCGCAAGGTGTTCACTCTGTTTTCTGTTACGACTTTATCGATATCGAAGTTCATGTATTTTCGAATAGCCAAGTGGAGTGATCTGCGAAGCACAGCAGCCAAGCAAAGTGATCTGAGGACTTGAGCTGAGAGCCATAACGACCAGCAGTGAGACAACACGAGTGGATAACCCTTAGATGCTATTTCTATCAGAGGTCCTCTTCTATATAATTCAACGCTAGCAAACGTAATTCAAAAATACACAAAAGGTTGCAAGATACAGAACGAGCGTTTTTCAGCGTCGTGAGATGCACTAATCAAGACTAAATGCTGAAAAGTAGCAGATTTGGTGGATGCAGTCACTAACGTATATGAGTTACTGAACAAAAGATTGTCCGTCGCTTTGAACCAAACATACCCGGTTACAAGAGTCCACCTTCTTGCCGAGACTGTTCCGTTTATCGCTAGAAGCCTCAAACACAGACTCCCGACTCGTTCCGAATCTTTGTCGTAAATCAGTTTACCTGCACCTGTGGGGCCAGGTTCCTCGGACACACGACCAGGCGTCTGTCAAAGAGGATAGCGGAACACTGTCCCGCCTCTTTACGGCACGGTACAGTTAAGAATGCACACAGCTCCGTCCTTGAAGACCTGATTAGTACGGGGTATCATATTTGGACCGATGACGCTTCCAAAGTTCTCTATGCCGTACCTAAACACAACCCAAAGGGAATCAGGAAGCGCCTGGTGGCTACTGCGGAAGCAATGACTATTACGCTACTGAAACCGGAGTTATGCAAGGAGAGGACGCTTGTACAAGCGCTCATGCTGCTTTGGCCGGAACGACTGACGCCGTTCGTACCTACCCACGTCCAGAACTAACTGTAAGCTTTGTCGCCAAACCAACCATTTCTTTCTTGTTATGTTTGCCTTGCAGTGTTTGGGCTGTGAAAGAGCGTGATATTTACCATCTGATTGCATTGAATGATCTATCTATTGCATCGTTGACCTTCCGTTGAACTGTGACCTAACCATTCACTATTGCAGCTTTAGATGCTCCTCGTGTTGCAGCAAATTTTCTCATAATTGTAAATGCCTGAGAAGAATTATCGTAAAGAGATCTCTTCGCAGCAAATCATCTTCTTCTAAATGTTTGGATGACATGGATGCTGGTCTGGCGTCGTGATAATGGTTAAGAAGCAAATTAGATATTTTCCAGTCCAAAGTTGCCTATGAAGAAGATGAATGGAAGCGTAGGCTGCTCCGGTAAAAATGTGATCCCAGATCAACGAGGGCCGGGTCAAACATGAGGAGCAGACTGAAATTGACAAATTCAATAATGTACAAGACATCAGTAAAGGTTCGATCCTTGAGGAATGAAAAACTTATTTAACGAACGCGAAGTTGAAAGACAAAACAACTAAAGCCATTATAATGTAATAGAACCAACCTATCATAAAAAATTGAGTGAATCCAAAATGGATGACCCTGCTACGCTGATAGCATAGCGCTGGGTATCAGGGAAAATCCAAAAGAGATAAAACGATGCGTTATTTAAAATGCATCTCCAACGAGGAGGACATGTTGTTACTGATTCGTCAAGGCTCTGAGAGACAGACTCTACTGGTTAGATGCCTTCGGTTTTCAACGCCATGCAATCCTGTTACATTTCTCCGTGGGTCAGAGGAGGTAAACAGATTGTCTATGTCACCCTGAGATAATCGTTTTCCGTCGATCAGACCTCATAAGAACTGGATCGCAGCCACCACCGCAGCGTCATCCAAAACTAAAAACCACACTTCGCGACTCAGTCGAACACAGCGGTCAGTACGTAAATAGCTCATCCGAGCGTCGCCAAAATTTGTCCATATATCAATGCAGAGGTGTAAACTGTCATGTACTGTAGCCTAACCCAAAATGCTGCACATGATCTGATCCTAGCTATCCCCCGATCCAATCTGACTGTGGCACTGCCCAGCCAATCGTCAGTGAGTTAGTCATTAATGAACCGTATAACTCAGGAATTACGAGAAACATGTTGAACTCTTGATCTCGTCGTATCAATACTACCTGGTCATCTCCCCGATCTAGTCTTTTATCCACTTACTTAGAGTAGTTCAGGTCATATCATATGGCGACGGTATTGGCAACTGAAATGGCAGTCTCAGCAGACGATCTCCGATCTTCAACAACAGCAGACGTAGTTGGAAACCGTTCAATATTGTCTACCTGATACTCTGACACGTAAACTATCGATGATTTCCAAGAACAAGGCGCCGCATGTTGAAAAAACCAATTTGGAGTCGACTGTGTCTACAATACAGGGTTTCCAACATGACGTCCCACCTGGTGTTACCTTTGAATCTTGTTTCAAACGCTATGAGGACATATTTCGGGTTATGTTCGGTGGCAAGGAGGATGCATGGCGATCACGAACACTGCTTCGTAAACTGAGGGCCACGGAACACGACCGTTTTTAGTAAATTCCATTTTGCCAAAACAAATACGTGAATTTTCATCCGATGACATGGTTCAGTGTCTCACTCTGATCTTTGGCGAACGTCCCTCATCCTTCAACACATGCTATCAATGTTTAAAACTTGTCAAACACTCCATGGATGACTACAGTACTTATGCAGACATGGTCAACCGAGAGTGCGAACGCTTTAAACTGGCATTCATGACAGAGACACAGTTCATGTGTCTGATGTTCATCTGTGGTCTACAGTTTCCGTCAGAAGCGGACACCCGCATACGAATCCTCACTAAGCTGGAGCAAGACCCAGACATTACGCTGTAGAAGATGGCCGAGGAATGTCAACGCCTGCATAACCTGAAGCATGATTCCGGTATAGTGGAACAGCGACAGATCAACATAATGGATGTTAGAACGGTCAGATCAAACCAGCATGAGTCCAAAAAGCCGCCTACAGCATGTTGGAACTATAGCGCATGGCATTACGCAGCACAGTGCACTTTTCGCCGACATGGGTGTAACCAATGTCAACGTTTTGGTCGCAAAGATGGTTTCTGCAAGCTACACAACTCAAGTAAAACGTATAATTCCAACAAACGACCTTCGAAGCCAACACAGAAGAAGGTTGACCGCAGCATTGTTGCTACCTATCAGGTCAAGGTGATATCCCGCAGGCGCTACCTGACAGTGAGTGTTAATGGGTATACCGCAACTCTTCAGTTAGACATTGGATCGGACACCACGAACATTTCACAATCCATTTGGGAAGCCATTGGAAATCCTGCAATTTTACCAACACATTCAACTGCCTTTAGTGCATCTGGAACTACTCTCGGATTGGTTGGTGAGTTACGTTGTTTGGTAACCTACAATGAGCAAACGTTTGAGTCTATATGTTACCTCACTAATCAGGCAGGGTTGAACATTCTTGTTATTGACTGGCTAGGTAGGCTCAATCTATAGAGCATTCCTTTTGATAAATTGTACAAAGTAACATTGGATATCAGCGTTCCACCCGTAATTATCGATGCAGGGCTCCGGCAGACAATTTCACAGCGGTTGTCTCAGCGAAACGCCGTAGTTTTTCAGGACGACCTCAGGTTTTGTACCAAAATGTAGGCTCAATTACAGTTGAGAACAGAGCCTAAACCAGTCTTTCGTCCAAGACGTCCAGTACCGTATTCTGCCCTAACCAGTGTTAAGCAAGAGCTGAATCGTCTACATATAGCAGATGTCACAACCGGTCGATTACTCTGATTGGGCTGCTCCCATTGTGGTAGTACGAAAGGCTAATGGCTCCATCCGTGTATGTGCAGATTTTTCAACAGGTCTTAATGAGGCCCTTCAGACACACAACTATCCACTACCAGTTCCAGAAGAGATTTCTGCGAACATTTCAGGTGGTCGATTGTTTGAAAAACTGGACCTAGCGGGCGCATATTTACAGTTCGCTGTTAAGGATAAAGGAATTGTTGACAATTAACACACATCGTGGTTTGTTTCAGTTTAACCGATTATCGTTCGGGATTAAAACAGCGCTAGCTATTTTTCAGCAGTTAATGGATACAATGCTCACGAGCACCGACGGTGTTGCAGCTTGTGTAGATGAAATCTTAGTTGGGGGGAGAGAATCCAAAAGCGCTAGTATTGAGGGTCGACCAGGTCATGGATCGAATAAAGGACTATGGATTACGTTTGCGACCGAAGAAGTACAGTTTACTCATACCACAGCTTAAATACCGGGGGGTTTATCAAAGATCAGAACGGTCGTCGTCCCGATCCAGAGAACAGTACAGCTATTGATAACATGCCAGCACCAATAGACGTCAGTAATCTACGCTCTTTCCTTAGGATGGTTAGTCAATACTCTAGTTTCCTCCCGGAAATGCATCAACTGCGAGCACCTCTGAATGCTCTACTGATGAAAGAGTGGCAAGCAGCGGTTGATCGGATAAAAGATCAGCTAACTTCCGATCTCCTTCTCAGACATTTTGATCCTAAACTTCCGATTGTGGTAGCTGCCGATGCAAGAAACTATGACACCGGAACTGTATTATCCCACATTTTCCCAGACGGTTCTGAGAAAGCAGTTATCCACGTAGCTCGAACATTATCAGCAGCAGACACGAATTACTGTAAGGGGGAAAAGGAAGGCTTGGATAACGTATTTGCTGTCAATAAGTTTCACAAAATGCTACAAAAGTTAAACTACAAAGGGATGGATAGTGATTGGTTCGGTGGTTCGTTCTGAAGTGACTCGGTCATCCGAGTTGCATAA